ACCTGCCTTGGTTTCTGGACTCCCTCTTTCTCAGGAGGCAGAAATATACAGGTATCTCAGTCTTGATGTCTTTGTAGACATGAGGCACCTGCAAGCTGTCACGTTGCAATTACTGGAACACCTATGCTTTTCCTGTTTTAATGTTGTCTCATGCTGAAATTGAGCCCAGGCTTTGCTGTTAGAAATTTTGTTTTCTCATGAGTTAGTGACCTTTGCACTGTTGTGTTACTCATTTAAGTGGCTGCCCCAGAGCCCTGCAGAGAAACCGGTGGGAGATGCACAGTGAGCTTGGAGGATGGCAATGGCAAGTCATCATGGGACGATGTGGCTTCTTCCCAGCCTCCTCTTTTTCCTTCAGATGGTGCAGACAGGTACAGCCTTTGCTTTAACTTGGCTTTGTGCTGCTTTGCCTATGCAGTGCAGATAATTGCTTGCCATTAGTTCTGCTTTGTGGACCATGACTTGAGTGGAAACCTGGCAGCTTTGCTTTCTCACCCACATTGCTCCTATTCATCTGTTGCAGTGCAATATCCAGGGCTGAGTCTCTAGGGGAATATAATTTTGGACTGAAACAACTGTGTAAAATACAGGATTAAAATGTCAGCATGCAGGGCTTTCAAACTGACAGGACAATCTGTGCGCTGTTCTTCATGTCCTGAAGAGATGTGATAATGAAATAATCCTTACTAACTACGCATAAGCACTGGGTAGTGAAATGAACCCGTAAGGTTTAACAGTGCAGTGGAGAACATGGTCACACCCCGTGCTTGTCTAAATCTCAGCAAAATTCTCACATCTCCACTTGAAGAAGTGTCCCACCTGTCTTTGAGGTTGGAGCCTGAGATGCTTCTCTACAGAGTGTGTGTGTGAATCATGCTGCGGACTTGATGCATGTCTTGTTTAATTCTGGTGTAGCAGTCATTAGGTGATTACAGAGGCCTGATTGGACACAACTAAACAAACACCTGAGTCATGCACATTACAAGAGCTGGGAGTAAGAGGGAGATTTTGACATCCCAGAAATGAGGTGGGAAAAGTACTTACTGGGACCCAAGGAAAATGTTCATATACAATCTATTAGAAAGAAATTTTAAGTGCACTCACCTACATTTAATTTTAAACAACAGGCTAGAAGTGGCTGACAATACAAAGACAGAAGATGACTTTGAGAAAAGTAACTGTAAAATGACAGAGCTCATGAAGGATGTTAGGAAAAAGAACAAGGAAATATGTAATGTATCTTTTAAAAGAGGGAATGATCAGGCTACTCTCAGAAACAACCACAAAACTTAATGTGTTGATGGCACATGTCCAAACTATCCCAAGGTCAAGAAAGGACATGAAGTTTAATTAGAATAATGAGCTCCTTCATGACCTGACCTCCAGAAGAATGTATAGAAAAATCTAGATCTGTGTAAAAGAATTGCAGATATTCTGGCATAAACCCAGAAAAACTAGGCAACAAATACAATAAGATAAACATAATGTGAAAATCAGGAGCTTATCGTAGAATCATAAAATGGTTTGGGTTGGGAGGGACCTTAAAGCTCATCTGGTCCAACCCCCTGCCATGGGCAGGGACACCTCCCACCAGACCAGGTTGCCCAAAGCCCTGTCCAACCTGGCCTTGAACACTTCCAGGGAGCGGGCATCTACAGCTTCCCTGGGCAAGCTGTGCCAGTGTCTCACCACCCTCACAGTAAAGAATCTCTTTCTAATATCTAGTCTAAATCTACCCTCTTTTAGTTTAAAGCCATTTTTCCTTGTCCTATCACTACAGCCCTTGTAAAAAGTCCCTCCCCAGCTTTCCTGTAAGCTATCTTCAGAAACCTGAAGGTAGCAATAAGGTCTCCCGGAGCCATTTTCCTTGTTGCAACCTCTGGCTGTCTCCTTCCAGGGAGGGGGCATCCACAACTTCCCTGGGCAACCTGTGCCAGTGTCTCACCACTGTCATAGTGAAGAATTTCTTCCTAATGTCTAACCCAAATCTACCCTCTTCCTGTTTAAAGACATTACCCCATGTTAACAGTCCCTCTCCAGCTTTCCTGTAAGCCCCCTTCAGGTATTGTAAGGCTGCTATAATGTCTCCGCAGAGCCTTCTCTTCTCCAGGCTGAACAACATCAACTCTCTCATCCTGTCTTTCTCTGCAGAAGAGGTGCTCCAGCCCTCTGATCATCTTTGTGGCCCTCCTCTAGACTCATTCCAACAGCTCCATGTCCTTTTTGTGCTGGGGACTCCAGAATGGAGTCCAGTACTCCAAGTGGGGTCTTACGAGAGCAGAGTAAAGGAGGAGAATCACCTCTGTCACCCTGCTGGCCATGTTTCTTTTGATGCAGCCCAGGTTACAGTGTGCCTTCTGGTCTGTGAGATTACATTGCTGGCTCATGTTGAACTTCTCATCAACCCCCAAGTCCTTCTCCTTGGATCTGTTCTCAATTCATTCTCGATCTAGTCTATATTTGTGCTTGGGATTGCCACAACCCAGGTGGAGGACCTTGCATTTGGCCTTGTTGAACTTCATATGGTTTCCATGGGCCCACCTCTCAAACTTGTCAAGGTCCCTCTGGATGGCATCATTTCCCTCCAGTGTGTCGACCATAACGCATAGCTTGGTGTTGTCAGCAAATTTGCTGAAGATGCACTCGATCCCATCATCCATGTTGCTGACAAAGATGTTAAACAGTGCTGGTCCTAATACCAACCCTCGAGGAACACCACTTGACACTGGTCTTCACTTGGACATTCAGCCATTGACTACAACCCTTTGAGTGCGGCCTAAGTATATAGATAGTTGACTATATATAGTTGATCTAAGAATACCGATATTGGAAGAGAGACCAAGAACAATGTTAGTCTGTTTCCAATGGAGAAGAAAATTGTTATCCCTCAAGGTACCAGGTTATTTGGATCCAATAAGGAGGAAAGAAACTGCTGAGTTGCACTAGTCAGGAACAAAGCACATCCATCTCCTCCCAGGACAGGATAACAGGCTGTGCAGCTGCAAAAGATGAAGAAAAGATGGGGAATTGCACAGACTTTCCCCAAAAGGTGGAGAGTTTGGCTAATGTTTGCAAGAGAGATTTTATGAGCTCTTGTGCTCTGATGAAATCCCCGTGAATTTGTAAGCTGCTTGTACATTTGTCTCCTTTGCAGTTGTACCAAATGCATGCAAAGACAACAACGGGAACTGCGAGCAGTTCTGCAAAGCTGTAGAGGAAGGAGTCGTGTGTTCCTGTGCTGCTGGCTATGCCCTGGGCAATGACAACAAAACCTGTGTTCCTGTAGGTACGAAGCCACACTTCAGGTTCATTCTGTGGGACACACATGACATCTTCACCACATTTGGGAGGTGCTGGTGTGTTGAAGTGCTCATTCAAGTCCTTCAGCCTGTGCTGCACACGCACAAATACAAATGTGCAGGAGCCCAAGAATCTTCTCCCTTTACAATGTACAGTACACAAGGACTCATTATAATTTCATTGGTAATGACATAATGTGATTGCAGTTATATCTCACTTGTTTCCCCTCAAATATCACCAGTGCTATTTAAAAGGAATACAACCTGTCTTTCTATTTTCTTCTAAAAGCAGGTTTTCTGCAGTTACCATATAGTAATGTGAAGACATGAATAACTACTGACACTGAATTTCAAACCATCAGTTTGCCTGCAAAGTGAACATTAACTATTCTTTATCTTAGTATATTCTTCTGTCTGATGATATTTTTGGTAATGTCCTTTGTAATTTAATACCAAATTGCTGCAATTAGTTTTTAATTCCTAACATTGAATACTTTGCTCTGTTTTAATAACAGCAGGTACACAAAGATAGTGATGTCAAGAACAGAAGATGTTTAATTTTTAAATACTTTGAAAATGCTGCACCCATTTCATAGACTCATAAAATGTATTGGGTTGGAAGGGACCCTTAAAGATCATCTAGTACAACTCCCCTGTAGTAAGCAGGGACAATGTTACCAGATCAGGGGGACATTGTTACTAGATCAGAACTTGCCCAGTCGCTCAAAATCTGTGTGTTTTAGAAGTAGAAAATTATTTCTATTTTTCAACCATGTTGGTCTTTTTGCATTTGCAAAGTTTTTAGTAATATCTTGAAAAATCTAGCAGAGCCACCCCTGAGAAGGACACCTGCATATCTAATTCAATTGCAAAAAGGCACTGTTAAGGAGGTTTTTTTGAACTTTTAAGCGAGTTTTGTCTCTTTTTCATAAAGAGTTGATTCCCTGAAAGCGACCTGTTTCCCTACTCAAACCATTTTCCTTTGCTGTAGATACATATCTGTAAGTCTAAAGGCTGCTTTTGACTGTAAAACCCATGTTCCAGCAGGTTTGAATATTTTATTGTGGTGAAGAACAGCACAAGGTGCACTGAAAGCTAGATCTACTTTTCTGACCATGAAACTGCCCCTCATACTGAGGGCTCTTGAATCGTCAGATCCAATCATCAGATGAGCTTTCTTGAATGGCACTTTGGTGATAGAAATGGTTTTCACCAGCAACTGTCTTTCCTTCTGCTCTGCTGGAGGTTACTACCTCTTGCATGTCACTTGACTTCGTGCTTCAGCAATGCATAAGCACTGTCTCCCACAGAGATGAAAGACCATCCTATAAATT